CATACATCCATGCATACATACAGACATACAAACATACCGACATACCGACATACATACGTACATACGTACATACGTACATACGTACATACGTACATACGTACATACGTACATACACATATACATGTTTTACATAAGTAATGTATTCGTTGCATGCGATTTACCAGGTTTTGGAATTAGAGATAAGATGCCAGATATTTTTAGGTAGACCCTCGATATTGGATATACGGTTTTCCCCAGCTGTGAAGGTCAACGTTTCCAGTTTTGCACACGCCTCGCCCGCGTTGCGCGGAAATCGCCACTTGGTCGAGGCCAAAGTCCGTGGTGGGCTTCTCCCGCATTGGCCCTAATTTGGACGCCCAAACTGACTTGAGAGGTGTACCTATGCGGTGTTCAAGCTTCCTTAAGCGGCCAGAGATGGCAGGAAGCTGTTCGCTGTCGGCCGTCCTCGCTCGCTCACGCTGGCGAACTCCGCGAAGATCGTCTGGGCCTGAGAGGTGTGAGAATGTGCTTAACGAATGGGCCTTCAACAGAAGGCGTGTCCGGAATTGTGAGTTCCGGTTTGATGACTTTTTCAGTTGGGTTGTGGTGTGAGACCTATACACCTGTGCGATGTGGCCCATGCTACATTTGCTCTTTTGCGACGTGTGTGCTGCAGACCTCACCAACAATGCAGCTCTTGCCTCGTGCCTCCCTTCACTCAAACGCCTAAGTTCAAAAAATTGCCATGTGGATTCGTGCCCAAACAGATTTCAGTCCAGCCCGGAGCTGCCAACCCAAGAGCCGTCTTCTGTATCCCACCCAGGCGAAATCGTCCTCGCGGCCGTGGACACCTCGGGCTTCGCTTTACAGTTCGCGTCGCCGAGGCTGCAGCTTGCAACTCTGCATTCTGGTGTTTGCTTGAGAATGAAGTGCGCCTTCCTCATCAGGGTCGTGTCCGGATGTTAAGAGTCCTACTGTTTGGGTTTTGCGCTAGGCTTCGCTAGAAGCCGCCAACTGAGTAGGATCGCAATGGTGGTGGATTTCGTAAGCGGTTATGCGAAATGCGGGGAGCCGTGCCGGCAACGGTGAGACGCAGCAGTGTATGTTAATGCCGGCTGTTCTATAGCAGTGCGTAGTGTGGCGTGTCGGTAAATGCAACTGCAGAGATAGAGACAGAGAGAGAGCGAGAAACAGAGAGAGATATTTATAGTGACTCCAAAGCCCAGCAGAAAGAAAGAAAGATACTTATATTCTATATACATATAGAGGTGTAGTAGACCTGTATTGTAGCGATGCACGGGGAATGCATAGAAGCAGAGTGAATAGGTGCATATGGCAGGGCAGTTTTGTAGTACCATGTCGTGCTATGTGGAAGACGACAGTTCATAGCAGTGTCGAGTATTTCACAGTGTGCAGTATTTTACAGAGCACGTTAGAAATGCGTAAGGAGGCATCGTAGTAAATAGTGCAAATGGCTACTTAGTATTGCATGTGAACATAGAGATATTTACAAGCGTATCATATGCTACATATACGAACGTCTTGTGATTTGGTCATGCGTATCATGATCGTCGCTAGATAGACACAGCCATCAAGACTACCCTGCAAACAAGTCACACAGCTAGCACGTGGCGCAGCATGTGTATAGCATTTAAAGAGCTCATGGTGCCATATCAAATCCTGGCTTGTCAAATGATCGCACAGTACTGTAATGACTTGTCCAGACTTTGAGCAGCACATCACTGCGCATGCCCACGAAACTTCGGCGTATGGGTGCAAAGGGTACGGGAGCTTTTGCTATGGTCGACGAAAAGGTGGTTACACGGAGAAGAGGCGAAGCTGGCCATTGTTGATACTTAGTTCTGAGACATGCAGCAGCAGTACTGTGGTCTACATGGCATGCGTATTGGTGACAGAGGGCATAATCAGCAGCGCTGGCCGTGAAACCGGGAGCAGTGCCGCGCACTGTTGCGCGCCGTAAATTAGTACCTGCGCGCTGCCTGTGCTCAGGCTGCGAGCAGATCCCGAGGCCGTGTTTTCCAAGCCTATGCCATCCAGATGCGAGCCCCTTCCCCCCTCTTGATGGAGCGGCCTGAGACACATTGTACAAACCAGATTCGCCTTGAGGTCGTTCGTCGGTCGGTGGCGCGAGATGCTGACTCGTTGGCATTCGCGGATCCGAAGCTGCAGGGCGACAAGTCGTTGGTGTTGGAGGTCCAAGGGGGGGGGTTGTGCATGATCTACTGTTGGTGGTACAGCGAGAGCAGACGCAGCGTGATGTACCGGGATACAGCATGAAGATGATGGGTGACGTTGGGGAGAGTGGTTTGGGTGGTGATAATGATGCGGATTCGAATTCTGATGCGGGTCATGGTGGCGGTGGCAAGGATGATGCTGATATCCGACTCCGACGACGATGACGACGGCCACTTCTGCTCGCGATAGTCAGAAACTGGTCATCACCGTCATCACCATCAGCAGGCTGAATAACATGGCCAGAGCGAGGTTGTCCCCCAAGTTTCGGTTGGTCGAGACAGTAGAAGAGAGCAACTGGGAACCAGCACAGTGCTTTTGGGGAGCCTGCCTTTTGCCTGGTTGCATAAGCAATAAGGGTCAACAAACCCTAAACCCTCAACCCTAAATCCCTAAACAGTCATCGCTTAAACCCCGGAAGGCCGTCAGGGCCTGTCCGAGCACATTGGAGTTTGCATCGCCTGAGTTAAGGCGTGACAAGGCGGGGTCCCAGCAGTTTTTATGGCAAGTTCCGACTTTACCAAGGCTTCAGAAGTCGGAGCTAGGTTGCTACAGTGAGAACTGGTAGAGACCTCATGGCTCCGGAAGGCAGCGTGGTAGTTGCTTGTAGTGCAGAGGGGCCAATGCCGTTGGCGCTTAAGTTATTTGACTCAGGATTGCTGGACAGTCACGAAGCCTTGTTGCAGTGGAGCACTCGGTTTGAAGGACGTGGTTCTCGAAGCTGTGACGCGTTGCGGCTTTGTCCACGGCTCAGTGGTTCAAATCCTGAACAGGCTGTTTGGGGGTTAAGGGCAACTCGAGCGGATCTTAAGTTCTACACTGCGAAGCCTATGAAGAGCTGTTTTGACCATTGAAGTTACGGGCTCTGCTATCCGTGTGAAGCGCCGCTGGCGGTCACGGACGTTGAGGTATATTTAGTTCTGGTTTGGACAAAATTATTGCCTTGGGGCTGTTCATGCTCGTGCAATGGAGCGATGGCCTGTCATTGCTCTTGCAGATGGAAGGCTACAGGTTGCAGTAAGGCTGTACATTGACGTGGGAGTACAGGACAAACTCTTCTGTTGTCGAGCTGCGCCCGGTCGATGTTGGTATTTCAAAATGACGCACATCGGCAAAAAAGGGGCGTGACAAAAACACAGCTCTGAAGAAAGCCATTGACTTCTTGACTCGATTTAGGCTCGAGCGCTCTCTGGGAACATCACGTTCTTGCACAGTTTTTGCAAGGCCCTGAAGCATGCAGCGCCTGAGCGGTGCGACGACGAGGCGCAGTGCGAGGGTCAAACCCTGCGAGGCCTTCCGTCATAGCCATCGCTAGTTATGGTAGTGGAAATAAGCACTGTCATAGCAATAGTCACAGCCGTAGCCATAGCCATGGCTGTAGCCATAACCATGGTTATAGTATTGTTAGTAGTACAGGAAGCAGTAGTAATGGTGATTGGTCATAGTAATCAGTAGTAGTAATGAGCAATGCAACGTAAGTAGCAGTAAAAGCAGCAGCAATAGCAATGGTAATCGTAATCGTCATAGTCATAGTCATACTCACAGTCGTAGTCAGAGTCATAGTAATAATCGTCGTAACAGTTATACGGTTGCAATAGCAACAGTAATATTAGTGTAATTGCAATAGAAACAGTAGTAGTAAGTTGCAAGAGTAGTTGTGACTGTAGTAGTGCGCAGAAGCGGATGCTGCATCCGCCTGCCGGAGAGAGAGCAACAGTAATCGTAATAGTAAGAGGAAGAGGAATAGTAATATGTGCAAAGATCGTAATTCGTGGCAGGTCACCTGCAACCATTTACCGAACGTTGCACACACACACACACACACTTGAATTCTCTATGCGCCATACTGACGCAACCCGTGAACTGCATGCCGTGAACTCCCAAACTGCTGAGTTCCTCCACCCGTGTCCTGAAGAGCCGCTGCCTTTACTTGCGGCTGGGGCTGCTTACACTATCTCGTGCCAGGGCCCTTATCTCGTTCGTTCATGCTCAGTACTGGCAGAAATCGTTCGGGTATCGTTAGTAGCAGCTCTTTCAATCCTGCAACCATATCCGCTTGTGATTATGTATGTTATATATATATATGTTATATATATATATATTACTGTGACGGTATATCATTCAAGCCTTGTGTAACTGCCGCAAATGACTCGGGAATCTTCGATATCCAGTGTGTGGTCTATTGAATCAGGGTAGAGGGAATGTAAAAATGCGAGTAGGGGATTCAGTTCATCTGTTTTCATGAGTCTAAGGGACGTAAAATACTGTCATGTTTGTAAAGGCCACTTAGCAAATGTAAGGAATGCAACCCCATACGGATGGCAACCAGGCCAAGCCAGTCGATATTGAAGCAGACAGTGATGTGTCTTTGCAACACGTTTTTTAACTGCCATAGTGGCTAGAGATCTATATCTCTGAAAGTAGAAAAGAACTATAGAAAACAATATCCGAGGATTGCACGAGTGTGTATCTAGACGGTTTTTCGTTCAACGTGCCGTCTGCGGTAGGGTTGCCTACTGCATTGAACCCTGAACGGTTCTGAACCCTGATCGGTTCTAACTGCATCAGCCCTGATTGGCTATCTGTTGCCGAACCCTGACAGGTTGACCAGAGAGATGTGTGTGCTAGATACAGCGCAACCACAATCCTGAGCGATCAACTGCTAGGCTGGTTGGTTCATTCTGTTTCGCTTTGCCAAGAGAAAATGCACCTGTTCAGCCTTGAGACCTGGTTGGCCCAACATGGAGCCGTCGAAGCCGTAGCTGCTATATCCTCCCACCGATTTCTTCTGTTGAGAAGCCATGTCTGACTGGTGCGGCAAGAATTGGAATGATCGATCGAACAATTGGCAACAAGGGTGGTCTTCAGACAACTGGCAAAGCTGGTCTAGTGGTGGCGATTCGTCTTGGTCAAAATCACCGAAGTCTCCATCGTTGCCTTCGTCAACGCCTACCAGCCCGAAACCGACTCTTCCCGTGTCTTTTTCATTCTGACGAGAAGTTTTGGGATCGTCAGCCAGTAGGCAAGGCCATCAGCTTTCGAGAAGTTCAGCCTACTGAGTGGAGCCGCAAGCAAAGCTTGTGGCCGTCCCGTACAGTAGAGGACATTCGAGCATGGGAACTATCCCACAGAGGTCTTTCCGAGCTTTCATTTCGTCTTGTGAGTGAAGGATGGTACCAAGGAGTTGTTTGGACCCGATCCGCATCGGAAGCTGTCTTCACAACTCATCTTTTGAAAAGAACCCGAGAGTTGGATGTTGATATTGACGAAGTAGCTCGGACATTCTTGGCAGGTGAAATTCCCGACAAGCACAAGGATGCCTCCAAATTCATGCCGAAACTTCCGTCTGACTTGGTGGACCATATGAAAGCCAAGCTGCCAGCAACGCCGTCTTCTGATGAAGCTGAAGCCTTGGCAAAAGCCAACGCCAAGCTCGCAGCTCATGGCTTAGCTCTGACCCCCGACAAGAAGGAGGCTCAGTCTAGCACTGACACTGGGTTGCCTATCAAACCCGACCCGGATTCCAACCCCAAGCCTACCAAGAAGGCAAAGCTGCGCAAAGATTCAAGCGAAGATGAAGCCCGGAAACTTTTGAGAACAAACTGGATTCTCGACCCAAGGGAGCGACCGATCAGCATGTTGAAGACTGGCTTCAATCCTTGAAGACCAAGCCGGCCTTTAAACGCAAGTTCACACAGCGGAAAAGGCATGTGAACACTGTTCAAGAGCTGTTCAAGCACGGTCACTCCAAACAGGATCGGAGCTGACCACAGCAGCCGTGAAATTCGGCTTGGATGAGAATTTGGCAGCTCGTTTGACAATCTCAAGAACCTGTCACGGTGATTGCAGAAGGAAGCCAACTGCCCTATTTGCTCTGATGTCAAACGAACTAACCGAGCCAAGCTCATGCGCAGCTTCGTTAGAACCCTGCCGTCGTCAGGCAGAAGCAACTGTCTAAATATTGCCACGTCAGCCATCTTGCTCACATTTCTGACCAGCTGTCAGTCATGCCCGATGCACCAAAATCTCGTTCGCCACAACAATCATGGCGATACTACTGGGCAACAGATGCATGACTGCTCACCCTCCACACCATATGTCGATGATGTCCGTAAAGTAACACAATTGAGATGAAAGATCATAGCTTGTCCCCTAGTGCAGCGATCTGGCGGAACATGAACTTCCACGCGGAACAATTGGACGTCAGAGGGGACGCTGTGCGTGAAATGGCATAAAACTCTTGACCAGGTTAAGACAATGCTGCAATATCGAGGCAACACTGCCACGGGTCGCACACCACAGTTGCCATCGTTTCAACTACATCAAGCTGGTCGCCACATACCATTTGCTGAGCCAATTACTGTCCTTTCGGACATTGCAGCCAGTTTTCTTCGTACGAGTTGCACCGGATGCAAGTGATTGAAAAGGTTGACTTTTCTTCCTTCGAGTCGTATTCAGTTCTGCTGCACACATGCCCGTGTGGGTTTTTTGTGCGTGTGCAACCCTGTTGCTAAGGGATAGGGCTGGCAAGAATTTCTGAATGTTCTGCATTTCAGTAGGGGGCAGAGGAGGCCCATAGAGTTTTGCCTAACGAAGCTCTCTATGGTGACCTCAGGATACTGAGACTGATCATCCCAGCGTACTTGCATACAGAATGGCAACCAGGCCAAGCCACCAGGCCAAGCCGTAAACCTGGCAAGTCGATATTGCAGCAGACAGTGATGTGTTTTGGCAACACGTTTTTTAGCTGCCATAGTGGCTAAAGATCTATACCTCTGAAAGTAGAAAAGAACTATAGAAAACAATATCAATCACAGGGAGGATTGCACGAGTGTGTGTGTGTGTGTCTGTGTCTGTTCGTCGGAGGTGTGGGGTGTGTATATGTTGTGTGCGAAAGAGGACGTCATCCTGGCAGCCATCCGCCACAGCGCCTCCACGCTGCGCCGAGCCTCCTCACGGCTTCGCTCTTCGGCAGCGTTCGCCGCCTCCTGAGGAGCACAGAGTGCATGTGGACACAGAGATTGCGGTGTGCAGATGTACCACAGAGCTGTATGTTTCCTGGCACACAAACATGCGCATTTACATGTCAACGCGTGAAGCTGCATGTTATGCATGCTTGTTTCTCCTTTGGAGAGGAAAGGAAGATTAGGCATGTTTTTCTTGGTTCTACTTTGACATTCATGATTGAGAACATGCCTTTTGATGCAAAGTTCAGAAGCTGCTTCCACCAATGAGCGATGCACCGTATCAGGCGTCAGTTTCAGGCCTCAGAATCTGGGGTCTGGTGGTGCGACTTCAGGGTTTGGGTTGCAAGGGCGTTCGGCGGTTTTATCGTCTTTTACGGATTGGGCCATGTTTCTCACAATCACGTGGCATGGTGTGTATGCATGCCTGCGTTGCGTGTCTACACCATGCACACTTGCATACATGTATGCGTGCATGCAGGGTATGGTGTGGACACGCCCACACACACCTATCAATACATACCTTGTTTCAAGGCCCAACAAGTTGCCCGGGGGCGACCAAGGCAAACCCACACAAAATGCCACGTCTGGCCAGTGCTCCTAAAGCTGCAATGCAAGCCTCCGACCTGCAAAAGCCTACTCTAGCCTCAGCCTCCAAACACCTGCAAAATGCAAGCAACATGCGCCAACGAAAATCTGCCTGCTGGGCAGCGGTCCAAATGCCTACGCGGCCTCGGTTGAGAGCTGGCTGTTTCGAGTTTTGCCCAGATGAACACTGGCCTGAATGCTCTGAGCCGAAGACTGGGTCCTTCAGCCGTGCAGCCTCACAGCACTGGAGTTTCTTCACTTATTTTGCTCAGCTTTGCACGTCCAGATATGTCGGCCCCCTCCACAACCCTGTTGCTGAGAAAGCCAGCAGGCCCCGGGGCCATCATCTCGACGACTAGGTTTTACGGCGCCGTCAACTGCAACCCATGGGTACTCTGCATCAGTGCCGCAAAGCGAAGAAGACGCGGCGGGTCACGTTCTCCGAGTGCGAGTGCAGGAGAAGCATGCTAGAGAGTTTTATGCAGTTGGTGCTGCTTAAGCAGTTGAGTATTCCTGCTCGAAAACCAGGACCAGTAACTAGGTGAGTGGAGGTGGTTTCCTCCGTCTCGGGCCTATTTGGCTGCTTTTCTTCTTATATTTTGTTTTGACTGGGCATTTCCTTTGCCCCGGTCTACCGGCATCATCAAGAAGTGGAACATGGCAATCACTCTCGCGTGAGGGCTTGTGGTTCCGAAGCTTCCCGGGCGCCACCAAGGGTCCATGGACTTGACGTGAGAGAAGTTCCACCTATAATATTCAGGTCCCCAAATTGTTATCAAGTTTTGATATACACGCGGAGAATTGGTCGAGTTTTGAACTCCTACTTGTCACCTTTTGCGTCTATGGCGTCAGGACAGCACGGCTCAGGTTCTGCAAACAAATCGAAAAACCTCGGTGACCATGCCCATGCTCGCCCCAGAGATTTTTGGGGCCCGACCGGAGCTCTGAGTCCACCGAGGTCCTCGAGGCTTTGGCTCTCAACCCGGGAGTCCTTTTCCACGCGGATGACGTCTTGCGGAACAGCAAGGCCCGGCCCGGGCCTGAAGTCAGGCTCGAGTTCCGCTAGCTAGAGCTCCCAATCTGGCCTGCGGCGGTCACGGACGGGTTGGAAGCATGATGCACTGCTTGCATGAATCATGCATGTGAAGTTTCTGTAATGCACTTGAGAGCTCAAAAAGTGCAGCTACATCAACAGAACCAGAGCCCATTCAGCAAAGAAGCAGACGGCAGGACTTCGCACTCAAAGCCGTGCAAAGACGCGGCGATTCCCTGAGGTGCAGAGAAGGGGTCTTTGGGGCTGTTCGGGACGAGGTCCGGATCGAAGGACAGGAGTCAGGCAGTCGCATGTTCAAGCCGCATCTTGCAGGTCCATTCAAAGCAAGGGGCGTTGCCCCAAAACCCTACACGGTCTACACGATAGACCCCGAACTTGTATATAAATGGCTGGGCTACTCGGTCCAGCGGCCTCGGCAGCATGAGCTCAGGTGCCTCCACGAGAAGTTCCGCAATGACAAGGAGGTCGTGATGTTTCTCGGCCTGCGGGTTGATTGGGGAATCTCACAACAAACCTGCAACCCAATCTGCCTCCTGCGAGCCGGGAAGATCTTCAGCCTTAAAGCTCCGAAGCACAAGATTGGGTAAAGTCTGAGTCGCAGTTAGTCTTTATTCTTTAGTAACTTGAGTCGATTGTCAAAAAGATAGGAAATGCATGAGAAACTAAAGATGCTCCAGCCGCAACAGCACAGTTGCGCTGTCCATACTGTATCTCGGGGTCTTGCTTGGTGCTTCCAAGGCCAAGGGCTCAGATGCGGTGGAAAACAAAAGCCAAAGCCATTGGGGACTCGAGGCACATCCCCTGAAATCACATATTTCAGTGTTGCCTTACCTCCAACCCACAGAGAGCCCCTGGGTTACTTGAGAGGTGCTACTGCTACAGGAATCTAGAGGTCGCTGTAGTGCGATCCTGCTGAGGCTGGCTGTGCGTGAGTCTGGTCACACTCTCGCCTTCGCTTCGGAGGGCCTCAAGGACTTTGGTAGAGAGTCGGACCGGGAGATCGAAGCCTGGGAGTCGAGTCAGCCTTGGTGCCATTCGACTAACCCCCATTTGGAGCTGCTATCGAAGAGGGGTTTGTATTTCTAGGTCCGCCCTCCCTCCCAGGATTGCCATCCCGACATGGATGGCAATGCTCGCAATGATGCTGCCGCCGCTGCTGATGATGATGCTCATGCTCACGAGCTGCTACTAATGATGATATACTTCTAATGACAATGGTGATTCTGATGATGGTGTATTCAGTCTTCGTTGTTTCTGAATCACTCTTCTCGTTGCCGTTATCTCGACGTGAAAGATGCTTATGCATCCTACAGTTGCAGACACTCTTAGCCTCGGAGTTGTCGGCTGACGCTGGGCAGTCAATGGTCCCTGCTGTGTGAAGTTCAGGACCAGTCGGATTGGGGTTCTTCTCTGTAGGACTGCAGGATTGGTTGTGCCTGTGTCAGAATTAGATGCTCCATCAACTTCGCCGCCACCATTATTCTCCTCGCCTCTTCCTCATAATCATCATCAGCATCAACATCATGACCATGATCAATGCTCATGCTGATGCTCATCCTCATCTTCGCCCGTCATCCTCGCCATCCTCCCTCTGACCCTCGTCCTTTCCTTGATCAGCAGCGGTTGGAACACGTCGTCTTGTTTTCCTTGCTTTTGATCCTCTGTCTCCTCGGCCGCATTGTTTTGACCAGTGCATGCAGCACCAATTGATTTTAGCAATTTTGGCGCAGACACTGGGCAGGATGACAGGGAAGTCGTGTTAGCGGCAATCGGGGTGTGCGGATCAGCTCTGCCCCCAGCGTTTTGCTGCACCGTCTCTTGTGGTACAGGGAGCCGCAGGAGCCTTAGGGTTTAGGATTTAGGGTTTAGGGTTTAGGGTTTAGGATAGCTTCCCTTAGATCGCCGCATCTGTTGTCCTGTTTTCTTCTGCAGGTCCACTTGTGCAGTGCATCGGGTTTTGAATTCCTCGGACGGTCTGGTGAGCGCTTTGGGTGAGGGCTTCGCATTGACCTTTTTGTAGTTGTGGAGCGATTGCAGCTCACATGTTCAGTTTGCAAGCCACACGTCACCAAGACCCCGGCCGGACCATTCTGGAATGCTGGACCTGCCCCAAGCTTTAGTTCAATGTCTAGTCGTCAGTTACTGAATATTCTTCTTCCCAAACGTAGGACGCCGAGCTTTCGCTCTCTGCCAGGCTCTCGTCCATGGCTCCCATAGGCTCCGAGCAGAACGCGCCGTGGTATTGGCAGCGGTGAGTGTGGCCCTCGGAGAATTCGATGACGTCCTCTGTCGCAAACCCTTTGTGTATGTCATGGGCACTGCTCGTGCAGTGAGTGTCGGACGTCACCGGGTGTGAAAGCCTGAAGGCAGACAGCTGGCTGCTGGGGCACGGAATGTGTTAGTCATCCCACTTCCCCGATAACTGATGCTGGCCGGGTGTATCGAGGACTTTTCGTCACTTGCTGCTGAGCTGGTTTGGCTGTGTTTGCTGTCAATACACCCTTTTTCCATGCATGCGCTGCTGCTGTCTCCATCCATTGCTTTAAGATTCATCATTGTCGGGGGCAGCGCATGATGGCTGGGTGCTAGGGTTTGTTCAAAGTGACTCAGGTCAAGAAGGCTCTGCCCTTGCCTACGGCTCCGAGGATTTCAGGCGTGGGACAGGGGCTGCAGTGGCGGTTAAGGAGAACACAAGCTCGTCTTTGAAGATAGCATATTCCAGGCACGTCGCTCCCGGACCGATAACCGGGAACCGATCTGCAAAATTGGCAGCGGCAGAAGTTGGCATGGCAATGCGGTGAGGAGAGAACGAACGATAGTAAGGCGACACAATTGTGTTTACAAACAGAGACCACAGTGTCCTTGGACCAGGACAGCTCACACCAGCGCGAGGTGTTGCTAGAAGAGAGAGCATGTTGGGAAAAATCTGTTGATGAGGAGACGCAGATATGTCGCAAGCGTTTCTCTTCGGAAGCGTGAAAGAATGCCGCTTCGCATAGAAGTTGATGCATCGGACGAAGATGATCTGAATGCACTCCCACAACCGCTTCGCTAAATGAGTTCTTCGATCCAATCTTGAAGAACCATGTGTGTCGGCTGGATTCTAAACTCGCGAGGTGCCTGGCCTAACAGCAAGTAATTGTCTGTAATGACATGTCAACCATTCTGGAGAACTTCGACAGCTGACAGCAAGAGACTAACTGCATGCGTACAGGCTTTGAGAACTGAACTCAACGAGCAGGGGGATTCGTATTGCATGAACCAAAAGGGCGGCCATGCCCCTATGTCCTGAACCAGAACGTCGCAGCAGACACGGTGGCGGTGGTGGCATAAAGACCTCAATGGAAGTAGGTGAAGGTCGCCACCTTCCCCCAACTGCATGCACCTGACAGGCATGATCGAGAGTTCATCATGCTTGCGGTGGCGTTGAACGGACTCTGCCTTCAGCACCTTGAGCGGATGAAGAGCCTGAGCAAGGCCTAAGTAGGCTGCCATGATGTTCTTTGGACAATTTTGAACGCTTCGCGTCGTCCGCCTCGGCCCGGCTGTACTTGAAGCAGGTGCATTGTTTCGGAAAGGAGCGGGCAGGTCACACAGGTGCGGTCTTGAGAGAACGAGCGCATTTGCTTCAGAGTGCTGTTCAATGTCAGTATTTGTTATCATGCTGAGGCTCCGAGCAATAATCCCGCACGAAAGGTGGCACATCCCCTGCGTTACCCCAAGAATGTTACTGTAATAGTCGGATCACGCTTCTCACTGGTCTCGTATACAACCTCCCATATGTTGGAAGGAGAATCAAGCTTTGCAACGAAGTACAAGACACAGCCCATCACAGCCCAGTTTCCAGGCTTTGGCATCAGCTTCACGAATGATGTAAGCTAGCTGTCTCGCCTCCCGCAAGGTGCAAGGAAGAGACGAGGCGGTTCGGGGGGCGGGAGTGGGGGAGGGGACAGGGGGGGGGGCCGGGAATGGAGAATGCGGGCGGGCACAGAGTCTCTTGTTAAGAGGGGGTCAGTCCTGCCGGCTAGGCGGGGTGGGTCACTGGGGAGGGGATTAAGAGAGAGGTGGGGAAAGAGGGAATCCCTGTGGCCGGGGCCGTGGCGAATTGGGTGTTTCTGAGAAAGGCTTGGTTCGCGGATGGAAGCCTTAGGCTCATACACCTGATCCCTGAATGCCTGAATCGCCTCGCAGCTCCAGGTATGCTTCTGCAGAGCTTCGCGCGGATCGTCAGGTGTGACAGCCTAGACGATTCACGAAATTGCACGGTCCACATGACTATATGTAAATGTGATGAATGTGCTGTAAGCACTTTGGTCTAGCCTAGATTGCAGGAGACCCAGAACACAACTCACACTTTCATGCAGTGCTGTTGTGATGGGACGACGCGGAAACGAACGTGAAAATTGCGCACGCAGAACCGTGAATCACGACGATGGTGGGCAGTCGTATCCAGTAGATTGTTTGCAAGCTTACATATCTACGTCGAAATGCCACGCTCCTCGAAAGAAGTGCATGCAACAGTGAATCATGATCATGATGATGATGATGATGATGAATGATGATCATGATCATGGTCATGATGATGATCATGATGGTGATAAGGAGCCTGATGGCACTGATGGTTGATGCTGTCGACGGTTACTTGATGGTGCCGAGTGTGTCGATGATGATGACGGCAAAGATGGTATATTGTGTGGATGTGGCAATGATGATTGTAATGGCGATGACGGCGATGATCATCATGCTCATGACATACACTGTACAGCTCATGACAGTCCCTGTTGTTACCTGTTGTCGTAGGCAGCACCAAACTGCTCTATGGACTGGGATGAGGATCTTGTCCAGGGCAGTGGCGCAACAGGGGTCAGTGCGAGTCAGGTGGTTCTTCAGGCCATCAAGTCGAACGCTCTAGCGCCCCTTGGCCGCAGCAGCAGCAGCAGCAGGCTTAAGTCATTGCTACATTCCAGGCCCGGTAGTGATTCTACAGCTTATTGAAAGCCAGGCAACTGATGACGAAAGTCAATCGGAGCAAAGTTTAGGCAGTTCAGCTGCATCGTGCCGGGCCAAGTACTTAAGGGCACCAAGAGTTGTAGGGAGGGTCAGTGGACCCTGAAAGTCCACTACAACGACAGCTCTGGTGATCTGATGGCCTCAGGCTAGAGCATTCAGACTCGAGGCTGAAGCGCGACCGCGCCATAGCTGCAAAGTGGACTCATCCTTTGGCCTTTGGTGGAGCACTCCTCATGATGCTAAGTTTAGAGCTGCTGATGCCATGGGTGCCAATTCAAAACCCCAACCTTTTCCAGCAAAGGCCAGGGCACGACCCTGAGAGAAACCTTAGAACACGTTGCCGAGGAGAGATCGTGCTCACCGCGTGCTTGCAGCAACCACACTGTCTTGGCTTCGCTCTGGATTCCGTGACTCCGCTCGATTCTGGACCCCAATCCCTGAACATCTGTATCCTGAAGCATCTGCATCCTGAAGCATTAAGCTCTTCTAAATCATTCCAGTAGTACTTCTAGCAGCCCTTGAGTTTTGAGTGGCTCCGGGGCTCTTGGCTTCTGAGGCCCAGGAGACCGACGGGTGTTCCTGGGCCCCCTGTGCTTTCGGAAGGGTTCGTCCTGCGATGCCTGAGCAGGATGTCGTGGATTAGAATATGGTACGTTTTGAAGTGTATGATATTGTAGTGCGATTCTGTAGCGGCTAGAAGGGGATCCTTTTGCGAATTATTCTCCCCGCTTGGCCAACACGACCCTGTCCTTCCCCCCGAATGCCCAAGCTCTGCAAAAGCCCGTCATGCTGCTTCGCACCGCGGACAAAACCTCGCTGCACATTCCTGCGCAATTTGCGAGGGCTTGTGTCGAGGGCCATTGCAGTCGCCCGAACAGTTGGAATCATCATTGCGCAAGGATCATCAGCTTTAATCCCGGGAGCTCAACAATCAATTTCAGTAGATGGAGGGCTGTTGCTTTCCAGGTCAAGAACGACGACATCTTCATGATTTCTGCCATTGCCAGGCAACGGGGTGCTGTTTGGCTGTTGCAGGTTGCCTCACAGTCACAGTGGCATTGAGTTCTTGCTGAGGCAACCAGTGACCCTCCAGTATGCTTCCGATCGTTTGAGATCAAACAAGGAGGCCGGAAGGCTTCGGGAGCTTTGCAGCGTTCAGGGCTGTTCTACTTTCACTACGGAGTTTAAGCTCGGGGTGAGTCTGCAGAATTGTGGTGTTATTACACGCCCCGATAGCGCACCGGATCCAGGAATTGTCAAACGGGGCCTCAATGCACTTGCTGAGCCTCCATCAAGTTCTGAAGCCTAGACTTGCATGATTTCGGCCTGCAGCCGGCAGATTCCGTAGATTCAGCCAGACCACTCCGAAGCAATCCAAGACCTTGAAGCTTGATCTTATCTTCGGGTTTCAACATTACACGATGAGGGTACCGGGTTGGTCAGCATGCTAGAGTCTACCCTGTAAGGAGGACAGTGTTCTTCTCATGCCCCCCGGTTCACTCTTGCCCAGGTGGTCCTTGGTGCGTTGAAGAGCCAGGGCCTTGGATAAACACTGCGGGAGCTCGACAAGTGGAGACCCGTCTGGGATGGTATCTCTTTTGCGAGATAACTCTGCAGCTTCTGGCAGCGCCTTCTGAGTGTCAGTTCGACTGCTGCTCTGTACGTTTCTGAGAGATTCGGGTGTTTGAGGGTTTAGAGTTTCGGGGGTGCTCCTGGATTGCACCCCGAGCCCGAAGTTCGCATGCACTTGGCGATTCTCGTGAGCTGCAAGGCCAGCCAGAGGCCATCAAGTACGCCGACCCTACCTTGAGGTGCAGGGAGTTTCTTCCGGAGTCCTTTTTCAGTTTGAGAGGGTGACTTGGACTGCCTTCCCGCAATCTTGAACCTAAGGTAAGAAACCTCGTTGCTGTAAGCTCAGCATCTCAAACATCCTCAAACCCCCGAATCTGAGAGCTTTGCATGCATCCTGTCCTACCTGCGGTTCCAGGAGCGATGTGGACTTCCTTCGAAGAGCGCTTCAGATGAATCCGGAGCCTATGCTTTGGTGGCTGTATGCCTAGAGCACAGTGAGTCCTCTCCCAATCGTGGAGGGCACAACTTTCTAGTTTGAGAATGTCTGCTGCCTGCGCAGGAGATCTACCCTCACTTGGACGAGCCACTTCGGAGCGATCGCACATTGGTGTCATGACGGCAACAGACTGCCTCGATGCAGTTCAACCTCCCGGACTCAGCCTGAAGGCTCTCGGCAAACGAGCGAGCTGCAAATATGAGGCAATGGCGGCGATAAGGATCCGCGGCAGCGCGCTGCAACATCTACCGCCAAGCCTCGCACAGGCCAAGCATGCAGTATTTCAAGTGCTCAGAGAGGTACAGATGACATTAGGATGTACTGTAGGGCCCGTAGGCTTGTCGTTCAGTGTCTGGTACACCACAAATCGTTATGGGAGAGGAAGCTTCTTGTTTGTCTGACGGCACTTAGCCGGCCTTGATCGCCACCTGTTTCAATCCGTCCTGTGAATCTTTCACGTCAAGAATTCAATCGGCAGAGAACTATCTCTTCACAAGAAGCCGTCATCATGCAACGAATGACTTTAGGATTTGAAGCACTAGCGAAGCTCTGAAGCTCCAAATCTTCGAGAGCGTCAGCGAAGCTCTGAAGCGCGAGTTGTCAGGAGCTTCACCATTTTGCGAACCGAAAGGGGCGGTCTCTCTGTTTTCGGATGCCGATTCCACTGTCCAGTCCTAGAGTTTTGTCACCAGAGGACCGACATCGGACGCCCCAGGATCCAATAGATGAAACAGGGAGCTGAAGGAACCAGTCGCTCAAGTACAGCCCTCTGTTCTCTAGAAGGCCAAGAAAAGTTCTGAAACCTTGCACCTGACTAGCACTAGAAGCTTCATAGCGGTCGTGTGGCGTGCCCCCTCCTCCCCTCCTTGGCTCCGCCATCACGATCACCACCATCAGCGCCCACACCAACGTCACTAGCATCATGCTTTGCATCGCCAACAATCACAATCACCCTCATGGGCATCATGATCATCACCATCACCATCACCATCACCATCATCATCATCCTCTACTTCCACATTTGCATCCACGTCATTCCACATCTACGTCCTCTTCATACTGTCTTCGTCATCGTCGTCACCACCACGCCGAGGATGCCTTTCCAGCACCCCAGATTTGTGTGCAGGACCAAGACCTCATTCTGCTTGCAGTGCGGACTTTCCCCAAGGCTGGTCGCTGCAGTCTCCAGAATTCGCCTCAGATTTTGGATTGTCTGGGTATCGTATTACTCTGTGTATGGTGTCCATGAGGGCGTGTCCGCTGGTCACCTAGTTTATGGCTGTAGCCTTTCATGCCTACGGGGCAGGTCTGCATCTTTCCAGCTTGATTTGTGCTGCTGAGCTTATGCTGCTTTGGAATGAAAGTAACGCGGTGTTGGACATTCTCGATAAGATCCATTTGGGATCCCCAGAAGAACTTATTGTGATTTGTGAGAATATGGCACGGACCCCGGCTTGCTCTGTCAGCAGCAGGCCTTCTTTTTCGTGCCCGACGCACTGCAGTCGGACAAGGAACGCTGAGTCGCTCGGTTCTAGAGCAGCAGCAGTGAATGTGCATGACTCAGGAGTTTATCCTCGCCATGGCTTTGCGGAATCCTGAAGTGCTTCAGTGTGTCCCGGAGTCAATGCGCAACGACAGGCACTTCGTCATGTCGTTGCTGCCCCTCGGCTATTGAAAGCCTGATGGATCGTTCTGCGTTTGCCCGTGCCTTGCATCCAGAGTCTTCACGCCTTGCCTTTCATGATTTGGTAGATGCGTAGCACCGTGAGTCTGCCCTCCCGTGGCCAAGCGAAAGCAATTGCGCAAGAGCACCGCCATTGCAACAGTACGAAGCGACAGTGGCAGCGACGAACACGACTACGATGACGACGACGGCGACGACGACGACGGCCCTTGCCACGGCCACTACTGCTAACCACATCCATTACCACTACCACTACCACTACCACTACCACTACCACTACCACTACCACTACCACTACCACTACCACTACCACTACCACTACGCACTGCCACTGCCACTACCCCCACCAGCAACGTTGGCCTCCATTATGACCACCCAAGTTCAAAACTACCTTTGCTGCAACTTAGCCTTCTTCAGCGTGCCTATCAGGGTCGTCGTTGTCGCCTTCATCGCCTCGTGCTTCCCAGCCCCGGTGATTTCTCCTGGCCCAGGAAAGCTTGCCCTGCCTGTCTGGAGCACATGCCCTACGAGTTTCAGGACCGACTGCATGGCTTCGGCATGGTTTCGACAGCGGTCCGTGACCGTGGGGTTGCCACCCTCTGTCAGCTCGCAAGCCAAAGCTCCGCCTCGAAAATGTCATCAGATTGACTTCCTCAGCCAGGCGGACGCAGAACTGGTCCTTGCTGCGCTGCAATTTGATTCTCAAGCTCTCTGGCCGAGACGTTAGGTTTTACCGCATGCCGCAGCTCTAGCTTTGCAAGCAGCTCCGATCGCAAGCTAAGGCAGGGGAGTTGGCCGAGGACGGGCATCTGCTGGTCTTAGTATAGTGCTTCTATCCGGACTGCTATCAGTATGTTCGTCCGTATGACGATGGGTTTTTGAAGCTCCTTGCCCACGGAGGATGACATTATGCCGGAGCAGCCGCGGCCTTCCTGCGACCGAGGTCGTCGGCCTTCATGAGAGCCGGCTACGGACTTCCCGATAAAGTTCTGTGAACAACCTGTAACTGTCGATCTGCAGGAATTAGGACATATGGGGAAGTTGCATTTCGTGGCAGAGTGCACATGGCATAGTCCGCATGTATCATGTACAGAATCGCAATGGGCTTGTTCGATGCATTTGGCGAAGGCCCCGGTTCCGGTGGCCGCAGCTCCCCGCTCGCCTTCGCGGCCCACGTGTTGCGCAAGAGGCCCAGGCAGCAAGAGCGAAACTTGTCAGATGCGACCCATTCTGCGAAGTTCTGGGGGTCCTTGCTCCGCTGTCAAGGTTCAGACAGACAGTTTCTGCTGGCGGCTCTGGCGTTGGATACTGAAGCCTTGGTCTACGCGTCAGAGGTGACTTCGGGCGGGCTAGAGGGGTTTTTTGAAAACCCATCGAGAATGGTGACCAAGCGCAGAATGAGCGCAAGACGATGAAGCTGTGCCTCTGGAGCTTCGGAGGGTCAGAGCCGACTCAGAAGAACAGCGCAAGGGCAGATTCTGAATGAAGCCTCCGACAGGAGCGGGGCACGTGCAGAAGACGCGGTCCATCCCCGCGCCCCGCTCGAATGAGTGAATGTATCCCGAGCCAGGATCTCCGCAGAGATGAAGAGTTCGTCCTTGCAGCCGCCCTTTAGCTGCATGCGGACCCGGCGACATCTGGCCGCAGGCCTAGAAGTATCTCGATCTGAGGTGGAGGTGAACGGCCTCGCCCTTTCGGGTGCCTCCCCATCGCTGCGGAGCGACGCTGCCTTTGTTCAGCGTGCCCTGCAGGCCTACCCAAGTTCTCAAAGCCGTAGAACCCAAGCTCGAACCTGACAAAGGGAGTTCCGCCTGCAGTTCAGATCTCAAATGCAGAGGTCGACCGCTTTGCCGTTCGAGCCTCCGCACCAAGTGTGCAGGTCGATGGTCGTGCGCTCATTGCTGTCAACGACCTGCTCAGGGCCGACAAGGAGCCTGGATGCCGCAGCATGCTGCCATGGCCGCTTCAACATTGCAAGATCACAGGTGTAGGGACATATGTAGAGATATGTAGACATGTTTGACATGCGACGTGCAGCGGATTTCAGCCAGCACAGGACATAGTCCTGGCTGCCGTGACTAGTCGGGGCGATGCCTTGATGTATGCCCCCGACATCTCGCGGGCCTGGGGCCCTGGGGTGTCCAGTGGGGCTGGTCTGGTGTTGTTCTGGACCCGAGAGTGAAGATTCAATGGACGGGCTGGTGTTGTTATGGACCCGAGAGTGAAGATTCAGAGAAGATTCAGGCTTTAGAAGACGATAAACGCTGCTGCTTGCCATGTTTACATGTTGCGGCGCTGTAGTTGTCTGCAGCTTCTAGGCTTCCGTTATCATATTGTCCTTCGAGGCAATGGTTGGGGCTCCTGCAGGGCTATCAGCTACCCCACGCCCCACGCACACGCACAAGTAAAATTATGTGCACACACCTGGCTTAACCACAAGCCGCACGTGCTGTCAAGGCAGACCCCGAGATCGTTCTACGCGCAGTAGAGCGGTGGGCCCCGGCGTTGATGCCCCAGGATTCAGTCCATATCAGGTGAAAGTCTGGGGAGGATCCATGGATTCTCCTTCGAGATTGAAGGTTCAACGAATGACGGTGGAACTAGCTCGTGGGATTCGACGATGGGTGGTGTTCAGCACCAGGTGTGTACACAGACGACGGGGCTGAAGGCGATTGGCAAGCAGTTCAGGATTCAGAAGTGTTCTTTTGAAGTTTCGGAGATGTGGTCACCAGTATACCGTCTACCCGTGTCGTCGAAGGTCTTGCACAGGCACCATCGCATCGCGTGTCTAGGATCTTAAGTCTCATCGCGGCAACGGCAAACAGCAGCTCAGGCTCTGCCAAAGACCCATTGTGCATTGAGGTAGAGACTCTGCTTTCCACTCGGTTTCGAAGGCATCGCTGTTTTTTTTATGCGCTTTAAGGGTCCCAGAGAGCCCAATACCCCTTAATTAAGGAATATACCTTAGAAAAAGGTATATTCCTTAATTTGGGGTGGCCTTGCCTTTTAAGCTTCTGAGTGCCATCCTGAGGCTCCGGTTTGCATCACCAGAGCTTCGAGGGACTCCTGCAGCCCCCTGGCCTGAGCTCTTCAGAGGACTCGCTCTCCGGCTTCTCTCTCTCTCTCTCTCTCCGTTCAAGCCCTATTCGAAAGGATGCGTCAAAGCCTCAAAGCTGCAGCTGTGAGTTCAGGTCGTCCTCAGCGCCGTCCGAGTGTGGGGAGTGGCCCTACAGTATGCACAGCCGCAGGCTGTCTTCTTCGAAACGAATTTGCTTAGGCTCAGGCAGGCTACTTTCTTCTCGCTTGTACGATGCATTGATGTCCTCAACACAAGCCGGAGCTGAACAATGTACACGAGTCTTAAGACGTATGTGAGTGGTCAGCTTTATTTGTGGACCATGCGCTTGCGGCAAACTCGTTGCATGGAGATACATGGCATTGCGACGTATCCGCATCTGTGCATGGCTTTTGGGATTAACATTTCAAAGTGCTAGTGCAGGGTGCCCTTCTGAGTCTGGCGTATACCAATGCAAAGCCGAAAGCATGGGTTGTGGGCTTCGTGGATGAGGGTATGGAGGTGTGCACTCAGGCCCCGGGTGCCCCAGCAAACCTTGCAGCCAAAGTTTCACTGTCTGGAGGTGAAGGCAAACAAGGCCGTCGTTCTGGAGGCCTTGCATGTCGCATGAAGCCTGAGATTTGCGCGGACTTGTCTCGTAATGCTGGTATTGCACAAAGGCTGCAGCCATCGACGGCATCATGAGTTTTCCTGAAGCGCTTTCATCCAGTCGCCACGAGAAGCGACCAGGCGGTCAAGAACGATGGCTTGGCTTTGGCTCATGCGGCCCCTGAGTTGCGGGACGACGAGGCCCGGAGATGTGGTCACAGGCACAATCCATCTTTTGCCCCAGTAGCAAGGAGATCGTCGTTGCGGCTGTGAAGCTTTGGGGCGGCGCTCTCGAATCTGCGGCCGCATGCAGAAGGGCTGCACATCTCAGTCGTGTTGTTTCATCCAGTTGCTCTTTTGCCTTGTGCTTCCTCGGTCTTGGTCAGCAGGACAAAGGGGCAAGTAGACATATTGGGACATCTTGGGCAGCAGCAGCTATATTTGTGAGATCCGACTTTCGAATCGGAACCGGGTCACTACCCGAGGAGAACGCATCTCCACGGCTTCGGGCAGACAAAGGCACCTGACCCACTTGCATTTGGTTGATCTGATGACTGTGCTTGGACATGCAGCACGTCACCCACAGAAGCGCTTGCGTAGTCAACATACGCTCGGCAGACAATGCCCAGCATAATCAGCATCGCCGCCATGTAGCTTTACAGATGGATTGCCTTGGTGCCAGCATTAGCAGCAGCATCCGTCCATTGCTTCTGCAGGTGTTACACGGATTCTTTCACACAGACGAGAGCGCCAGCAGCACTGGTGTCCGCACCAATACACCAAGAAACCCGTTCGAGCGTCGTTAGCGTGATCGCCTTCCGCAAGGCCAACAACGGTTTTGCAAGTAGTCGTCGGAAAGCTCCTGCTGCAGCTGGATCAGCGGCAAGCAAGCCGAGCAGCATCAGCATCATGGCCCCTTGGCTTTGCAGCAAGGTGTTGACAGAAAAGCAGGGCCAGCATCAGTGACATCACCTCCGGCCTTGATTTTTGCAATCGGAGACAACATCGAGCAGTCAGTCCAGGCTTTACAGGCGGACGGCTTCAGCTCGGTTAGAGAGGCGCAGGAAGCAGTGGCAAGAACCTCCGTGATACTTGCCGGATTGCCTTCGAGGCTTTCACGCGCACCGACACACCAAGAGACACGCTGGAGCGGGTTGCCGTCCACCATCGGGTGGTTGCGGAATTTGCAGCCTCTTGGCTTTGCTGGCGACGCATCAGAAGGATCATCCGCCCGCACTTTGCTGGACTGCTTTGGGTATGTGAGGGAAGGCACCTGCAGGACCTGCATCAGCGCCAGACACTCGGAGAGCATCATCACCAAGTGGCCTCGCCTCGGCAAGCAAGCAGCTGCCAGCATTAGAATCAGGACCATGCCGCATCATCCGGTCAGAAAGCTCCAGCAGCAATTGGCGAAATCAAAGTCAAGCAGAATCAGCATGATTATGGCTCGTGTCGGCTGGAAGGCCGCAGTGGCATCATCTGCCGGCTGTTTTTGCAGCGTTACTCGCATTCCGACTCCGGCCGGCTTTACCGGCGGATGGCCTTCTGCCAACACTCAGCACTCAGGTGCGAGCATCAGAAGCTTCATCAGCCCTTCTTGTTTAAGAGGCCTTGTCCTTGATACATCCCGGATTGTCTGCCACACGTGGATGGCGGCGCCAGAAGCGCTGGCCTCTGCACCAACACACCAAGCAACAGCAGCAGCACCCGCCCGCGGGCATTTTTCTTGCAACCGGTACGACAACGTGTCGGGTCTAGAGCCTAGTTGATCTTGTCACGGAGGGTCGTTCATTCTTGCCAGAGTTATCTCGATCTGCTATTTTGGCGGAGAGTTCTTCCTTACATCTATGGACTACACATGCTTCAGCCTCAGAGAACATGTGTTGACAAGAGCCGCTCATGCAGGAAGAAGGAGCATTCCTCTGGTTACTTTACTTGCATGGGAACATTGCAGGCGTTGTGCTGGCAGCTGTGCTTGGATGTGGGGTTGCTCTCCGTTATGCGGCCGCGGCCTTGGCGATTGGAGCACAGCCCAGCGTATGTGCAGGTCTTGTCGAAGTCTGCTTTCCAGTCAAGTTTGCACCTCTTCTTGCAGTGCCAGTGACATACAGAAAGCATCGTGACCCGTTGCTGAGGATGAGTCCTTACAGGCCGACAAGGAGAGGGCTGAACTTGGCTGAGGGCTGCGTGTTACTGCAAGCTTCCTTGCACATGGCGGTCCTCTTATGTTGATAAATTGTGAACCTGTGAACGGAAGGTGCCGCGGTCTTCCTTTGCACTGTAGCTGATGTGCTGGGCTAATGGATAATGATGCTGGCGGCCATTCTGCCAAGTTACATGTGCAAGACCTGAAGTTTCTCGTCGCCAGGAAGTTGTTCTCGCCGCAGTGGCAAACGATGGTCAGAAGCTCGACTCCTCATACAGAGGGCAGTCATTTCCGATCACTGTCCTCCATTCTTGCTTCTCCATAGAAGCACTCCATGTCCCATCAGCCTCGCAACAGATGTCATTTGCACTGCAAGCCGATCTCCAGACACTGTTGGCCCTGGGCACCGAGTCCCCGCAGCCTGAAGCAGAGTCCAAAGGTTCTAGGTGGATGGCTGACTCTGCGCTGGTTCCGGCCGGTGCACACGAGTTCTTGCAAGGCCAAGGGTTGCAAAGAAGCATCCTGAACCTTTCTCCAGGGAATCAAACCGAAATGCGGAGCCCACGACTTCTGCAAACGAAGCCCTGAAGTCTGAAATGACGGACAGACGGCATCCTTTTGCGAAGCCCCGTGCCAAAGGTCTGGCGCTCTTCCACGCCGCACCAGAGCTCCGCGGAGATCGCGCCGTCGTTGCGAGAGCCATCAAGAGCTGCTCGTCTTGCATGAGCCGACAGTGGAATTTTGTTGAGGCTTTCAGAGCTGAGTGGATGGGAGTTCGAGATTGCGGGTTCAGTTAGGTCGGGCCAAGCTGTAACACACAAGGCTGCATCAACTCCAAGTAGTCTGCTACATTCATGAATGAGTCTGACCTTGACATCCTTGACATGGCACGTGGCCATCCTTGGCTTTTGACAGCTGCATGGTGCCAGCATCTGCCATGCTCAGGCCATGGATCGTCCCTTGCAGGAGCAGCACATGAGCTGCGGGAGGACAAGGCATCGGCGCGAGCACTGCATCGTTTGGAGATGTGCCGAGCCTTCCAGTCGATGGTCACACGGAGGGTGTTTCCATGTATGGTATACGATGATAGACGATAATATGATATACAGTATAATACATTGACATACTTTAGTATACGATAAACACTTTAATATACTATAATGTTCTATGATGTACTAAAATACATACCGCAATACACTATGATATACTATACTCTACTATAATATACCAAACATCGCGCAATCTATACTTTGATATACTATGATGTACGATGATCACAATCTATACTTGAACATACTAGAACATACCATAATATATGACAATCTATACTTGAACATACCATAACATACCATAATACATCAGAATCTATACTTTAACATGCCATAATAGACCACAATCTATTAATAATAGTCCACAATGAGAACCAGGGCCTGGTGCTCTCCGCTGTGGCCAAGCGCGGCGAGGCTCTGCGCTATGCAGCCGAGGCCCTGCGAGGCCGGCCTGCTACCACCAGGGCTACACTACCCTGATGTTCTCAAAGGTTACTTAAGGTTTAGGGTTTAAGGTTTACGGTTTAGGGTTTAAGGTTTAAGGTTGAGGGTTTAGGGCTTTAGGGTTTAGGGTTTCAGGTTTAGGGTTTAAGGTTTAGGGTTTAGGGTTTTGAAGAGCAGAAACATCTGCACTGTTTCCTTCATCGGAAAGATCCACCACTAGGTCCTGCCCCGCATCTACTTCCTTGCCCACTCCTTCTACTGGTGCGACGACACTGCCACTACCGTTACTACCAGTAGCAGTCGTACCAGTCCTAGTTCTGTGCTCGTACACCTTACTACCACTATCTCGACGACGACTACGACGACCACTACGACCACTACTACCGAGACGAAGCTTTCTGTGCCTCAACACTGTTCTCCCGGTCGTGGTAGCTAAGCTTCAAAGCAGCTGCAGAGGTGACGAGGAAGTTGTTCTTTGCGCGGCGAGGCCACGCGAGTGGTGAAATCAGGGCTGAGGCTTTCCTTGCATGAGCGAGGTTCACTGAAGAGAGAATGCCGACTCAGCCTCGGCTTCATTGTACGCTTCGCGGGGATATGCTCAGTGCCTCCGAGTTGTCCACACATGAAACCAAGTGGCACTGACAGCCCAAAAGCTTATCAATTCGCACATCTTTCTGGAAAGATGGACCAATGGAATTTCGGAGCCCTGAAGGAACCGTCTGCATGCAGCCGTGTGTCGCATATTGACATCTCTTGGGAACAAGCCGTCGGCCCTGAACTCGCACACCATTGAACCAGAATTCCTGAGGCTTAACTCCCAGCTGAGGGAGCCGGGCGATCAAAGAAACCGAACCCCAGCTCTGTGATCCGCTGCGTTGTCGCACTCAGCTCTGAAAACGCGACGTGACATCATTGCCATCGCTACCAGAATTATTGTCTTCGTTTTCAGTATTAGAATTATCCGCCTTTCCGATTGTCACGATAGTCGGTTGTATTACGTATTGTTGTAGTCGCTCTTATTGTCTGATGCTAGTGTTGTCAACATTTCCATCGGCATCAGCACCCTTGTCACCATCGCTGTGGGAAGCATCCGTTCACATGCGACCGCGGTTGCTGCACGTTCCCGTTGAACCTGCCAGAACCTGGGGCTCTGCTTTGAGTTGGGCCTCGCCAGCGCTGAGGCGACGGAAGGCCCTCCTGTCAGCCAAGAGGGATTCAAGAACCTTTGAAAGGGGCTTGGAGACCTTTGGCATGGGACATTCTCTTTGTAAGGTCTTGGTGCGGGCGGGACGCAGCTGTATTGCTGCTTTCTGCGGGCTACAGAATTGAACTTTGGTCCAGAAGTCAGTCCTCAGTCTTGCTATCGCCGTGGCGTGGCGTAAATCCTGAGCACCATCCGGACACACCTGCTAGCTGCAGCTCTTTGCACCTTCCAGCCTTTCCCGCGGGCCCACTTCCATCATCTTCGACTCCTGTACACTGTAGACATCTCTTCAACCAACGATGGCCTTTCGCAATCACTACGAGAAGGATCGCCTTTCAAACGAGGGTTTTGATCCACAGCAGGCAATAAAGACCCCTCTGATGAAAGGGGACTCTCAACTTCGAACCTCCGATGATATTCAGCCAACCCTACTTCAACGCTTCTGGTAGCCTTCATGGTAATCCACAAGCGATACACCCTGACACTGAACCTTAAAGCCCAAGCCCTAAACGTAAAACCCCAAATCCATGAACCCCGATCCCAAAACCACAGACTCGGGCCCCAGATGCTACAACCGCAGAACCCGAATCCCTGAAGCCCCCAAAACCACGCCCCCATCATACAGAAATAAATAAATGAATAAATAAATATAAATATAAATATAACTACAAATATATATATATACACATACATATATATATATATATACACACATACATATGCACAACACGTATGCAAAAGCCCGTGGAAGAATCCACAAAGCCGTGATGAAACTTTTAGGCACGGAGGGGTCCTTTTTCTCAGGACTTCCTTTGCCGGATCATGGAGGCCCACTTTGCGACAGAGCGTGCGGTGAGCCCAGCAGACAGAGGCCGGAGGGTGCTTCCACATATATATATATATTATATTATATGTATATATATATATGTGTCACATACGATGATCTACCATAGTATACCATAATGAACCATAACATACCATGTACCATATACATACCGGCTATGTCTAAACCCGACCTGCGGAAGGACAATGTATAGATATGTTGAGCAAGCTGGTTGACAAACAAGCAAAAAGGCAAACCGGTATAAACGGGTAGATCAAGTTTACAGGTTTGCATATTTTTCGCTGGTACAGTGATGGTACTATGAAGTATGTGCGCGAGTCGCAGTGGCGGCATGTACCGCCACTGCGTGATTGTCCAGGCTGGCAAAGTCTGCGCCTTTGAGTGCGCCCCACTGAGAAAGACATGACCATGTGAGTTGTCCTACGTATCGTCGTGACTGTACATTGTCGTCATTGTGAGCATCAAAGATAGTTTTGTCTTCATGGAGTCGCAGTGCTACTTGTCGAAAGAATCGACGGCGCATCAAAGTGCACCGCAATACGCTTACTCGGGCAAACCTCTGTACAGTTGCCGTGTTTCACTGGGAGAAAGGGAGTGAGGCAGCATGCAATGTCACAGTAGCAGCAGCGATGCTAACAGGAGAATGAAGGACATGTAGCAATAGGAAGGTATTCATCATGAGTGCTCGAAATCAGAGCGATGAACATGCAGACATGTTGATAAGTACTAGCGTTACTAGCGCATCGGTGATGACGACATTGATTCGGAAGGCTATGGATGACGGTTTCGATGGGTCCGACGATTCTGGTGATGATGATCGGCGGTAATGACGACAACGCAGCGGTTGCTGTTCATGGTGCTGGTGACATGATAAGGTTTATGGTGGTGAGGTTGATGGCGATGACCATGATGACAATACTAGTGATGATGATGGTGGTGATGGCGGTGGTCGAAGCAAAGTGTCAGCACCACGGCACTCCTATCTTTCGCCATAGATTGCCATGGATATCGAAGGATCCAGTCCCACGCCCTTTTTGGATCGCAAGCTCTCATCTTGCCCTTTGCTTGCCATTCTGGCTTCACAAGGGAAGGCAATGTGATACTGCGCCGATACAGTATTGGCCCGACGGAGGGAGGACCCATGCTGTGGTGACTACCCAAAGCGAGTATTTACTGAAAACAGCACTGCGGCATCATGCAGGAGCCTGACTTGATGATAGGCAGCGAAAAGCTTGAACAACTCCTTAGGATCAGTCAAAATTGTATTAATAGTGTGTATTGCTGTTTCACCGCCATGGCGCCGTCCTTGGAGGTAGGATGTTGCACACGGCCATGAGATGCCTTGTCTTTGCAACCAGGATCTTGCTCTGGCATGTTATGGAAATGGCCTCGGAGACACTACGAATTATAATAAGATATAATAAGATATAATAAGATATAATAAGATATAATAAGATATAATAAGATATAATAAGATATAATAATATAAAATAATATGTAATAATACAAAATAACATATAATAATATGTCGTCGTACATAATAATAGTAATAATAATAATAATAACAATAATAATAATAGTAATAATAATAATAATAATAATTATATATATATAT